CCCAAAAGCCCCCCCGGCCAGCCCCCGCCGCCTCCAGCACGCCCGGCGGCCCCGCGACAGGGCTTTTCCGTGACGTCAGCGCTCCCGCTGGGAGGGGGCGGCGCTGCAGCAGCTCCTTAAGTTGCAGCCACTTGGCTAAATCAGTTACTAGCAGTCATGTGATTACCCTCGCCCCTTGAGGGGAGAGAGGGAAAAAAATGACAGTTCAGTCCTTGGCCTCCTTGATTTTGTTTTATTTTCTTTTTACCAGGTGGACACTGGAAAAATACACTTAGTGCTACTTAATCGCCCTTCCCAGCAGGGCACTTGTGAGCTGTCTGAATAAAGGATGGGGAAAGAGACAAGCCTGAGTTGCCGCGAGTCCAGCTTTGCCAAGAAAGCAGATCAGCCTGAGTGAGCAAGACTTCTGCCTCCAGGCTACTCTCACACTGGGTGGGCAGGCCAGTTTTACAGCATGCTCTGAGAGGCAATGGGCTCTCCTGCTTCCCATCACCTTCTCTCTGGGGTGGGGAGAGGGGAGCACCACACTACTTTGTTTCCCTCTTCTGGCTGGAGACCCAAAGAGAAGGGGCCAGAGGAAAGAGCTGGGGAAACCTTGGAAAGGGCAGTTTGGCTCCAAACAGCTTGCGATAAACATTCCTGTTCTGGCCACAATGCTGACGTTTCTCAATCAGAAATTTAATCACATCCCAATTGGTGCAACTCAGAACCTAGCTGCATGGCTGGAACTGTGCCCTGGAGCCTGGGCTTCCCAGCCGTGGGGAGATGATCAGGCCCAATCCCCTGAGAGTCCTGGTAGTGAAGGACACAAGATCGCAACTGCTATTAACATTTGCTAGGATTTCCAAAAGCCTGTGGTACTGGTGGGCCCGGGGACCTTGCTCCTTACCACAGTCGTAGATTGAGGAACTAGAGATGCTGCAGGATATCAGGGCCGGTGGCAGGGGCAGCATTTAGGACCTAGTTTGAGTAACTTTTTACCTGCACCACTAAGTGACCTCTTCCCCAGGACCTGGGTATTTCCCAGGGACATGGGCATTTCCCACATGCTGTGTTTAGAGTCCATGCTAGCCTGTCCAACACATCCATCTGCTTCTCTAGCCAACTTCTGCTCTGGGTTGCCTGGGAAGCAGCCAGCAACACCAGTGTCTCTTGCAGAGGCTGTGGGTACAATGGATTATTCCCAGTTTTCCTTGGGCATCTATCTGATTTGGGAATTATGCAAGTGACTGGCTTCTGAGGTCTGTCAAGGACCAAGCTGGCAAAGGTAGAATCCACCAAGTAATAAAAATGTGGAGTGCACAATTTTATTTATGCACAAGGAATCTGAGAGCCAGGTGGATGAAGGCCACTCGGAGAGGAGATGGCCAAGCTGGAAGTGCATTCTGGGTACCACAATGCTCTGGATACTGCTCTTCATCCACCAAGTCATTCCTCAGGGTTTACCAGGTGGGAATGGACACAGGTGTAGCAAGAAAAAGAGGGACTCAGAGAGAAGGGAGAAATGAAGACAGAGACAGAGAGGGAGATGGGGGAGGAGAGAGGAGAGAAAAGAAAGGAGAGAGAGAGAGAGAGAGAGAGAGAGAGAGAGAGA